CGTCGAGTGGGGGTTAAATTCTTGTACAGGAAATGACAAAAAGCCGAGATGTACTCTCTTAGGTAGGGTCGTAGATGAGAAATGAAGAATAACGGAACTTATAGGTTCTTTAACTTTTAGTTTTTTGTTGTATAACGTCATTCGTATTGCCTTCGTAACACCCTCTATGGATGTACAGTCCTCCTCAGTAATGTCAAGGTGGACACCATGAATGATGCCCCTAACAGAAGGTGGGGGCACGTCTTGAATTTGGGAACGTATTTTATATCCACAGATGTTTTTTGTACGCGACAATAATCTCGACTGTGAATAAGTACAAACTATTTTAATATGATCTGTTTGCAATTGAATGTTTTCAGTTGGCCCAATGATATCGTTAAGGGCTCTACACAAGAGCATGGGATTTACTTTGGCTATATTGATATCCGGCGAAATAATGAAAACTATTTGTTTCTTGTCCGTAATTGACTTTTTGTGTCCGATTGATTCGACACTCGAACCAGAATCAGATCGTACTCGTTTACTAGCACAATCCCTATCGAAATCCATGTCTTGCGACACACCAACAGTGCAAGAATTAGCCGACCCACTCACACATCGGCGAGGGTCGTCCACATCCTTCACCCCTCTCTCAGTATAACTACTAACAAGTTCGCTGTATCGTGGCATATTTTTTCCGTATTGATACCGAATTGGTAAACTTTTTATACGCACAGCAGTCTTTTATACCCCTGTATTTTTTGCGTCATTGCAGCAACATGTGCTGATCATGTGACCACCCTCCACCAATCCCATTATGCCCTCAGTAGTAGTGCAGGTAGCTCCTTCTATCCTTGCACCACAAGCCTCACTTTCGAAAATTGGCATGTACAAACCCGAAATCACCTAGCAAATCAGTGGGGAGGAAGGGTGAGAAGTGGGTGAGATGAGGTAACTAGCTATCAGAAATACAGTTTCAGTGATAGAAAATGTTAACTTCCGAAACGTTGTTACCTCTTCTCCCCAGAGAATCCCACTTTGGAAAGGTGGAGGGGCTGGTGAAAGTGCAAAAACAAATAATTAAAATACTAGGCACACCTGTGTGGTATAGCACCTTCTGGAACAGGTAATTTCTTTACTAGGTGTAGAGTATAAGACATGTAGAGCGGAAACAAATAGAATAACTATCTAGGGCTAGAGGACCATATATGAATAGGTCAGGTGTGGTCTGTCTGGGTAGAAAACATCCAGGGGAAGCACCTTGGGATACGACATATTGTGTTAAGTGTGGTTCAAGGACAAAAACAACATGGAAGCACCTTGCACAAGTCTGTAACATCGGCATATGCGGCCCACCCGTACAAAACATCCAGGGGAAGCACCTTGGGATACGACATATTGTGCTAAGTGTGGTTCAAGGACAAAAACAACATGGAAACACCTTGCACAAGTTTGTAACATCGGCAGATGCGGCCCACCCATACAAAACATCCAGGGAAAGCACCTAGGGATGCGACATATTGTGTTAAGTGTGGCTCAAGGACAAAAACAACATGGAAACATCTTGCACAGGTTTGTAACATCAGCAGATGCGGCCCACCCATACAAAACATCCAGGGGAAGCACCTTGGATTGATATCAAGATAGCCAAGTGAGGTCCACCCTGGCAAAAATATCTAGCAGAAGCCCCTTGGTATACATTGGATTATGTCAAGTTTGGTCCATCTGAGCAGAAAACATCCAGTGGAAGCATCTTGCATAATATATTTCATGGCATATTATGCATATAATATGCAGCATAATGACGATAGCCCTCTAACGCCATGTGTAGAAGTTGACGAATTCAACCCGTGAGCATAATATGAGAAAGATCAGGGGAAACAGGAATGCCATGGATCAATGAGACAAAAACGAGAACAATGAAAGGAGACAGTGTGAGCAAAACCAAGCAGGGAACGAACTGGAAAACAGAGATGAGAATGGGAATACAGGTGGGAAAAAGGAGGGAAGGAAAGAGGAGAAAAGGCAAAATAACCTATACAGGCAGCTGAAGTCCAGGGAAGAAATGATGGATCCAAATAACGGAAAACATAGGGAAATGGTAAAGGATGTCATAAAAATTGGAACAATGAAGACCACATGCCAAGAGGAGAAGGATTGAGAAATCTTACAAGGAACAAATTGCAATTGGTTCTAAGGAAGAACTGAACAAAATAGGAAGAACAATATGGAGATTACAATCCAGCAGAACAAAGGAAATGTGTTCAAAGAAAGAACTAAACAGAATAGGAAGAATAGTATGGAGATTCCAATCCAGCAGAGAGAGTTTCTGGAAGAGGAAGAAAAGAGGGAGTACGACAGGGCCGCTATATAAAAAGCAACAGTTGAAACAGACAAACCTTGAACAATGAACCAGATGAAGAGCTGGGACAGGCGAGGAATAGAAGTACAGGAGAGATGGAAGCCCTGAGAAAAAGACCAAAGACACAAAAAAGGAATAAAAAAGAACTAAATAACATTAATAGGGAAAAATTTATAAATATTAAACAAAATTAATGCAAGAAACAAACTCTAAACACAAGTTGTAAATTAAAGTAATGTTACGACAGCGTAAGTCACGTGACGGTGGTAACACGTAATGAGTTGTAAAAAGATCGGGGAACATCACGAATAATCCAGTATTTGCAAGGCGCCCTCTATTTTTGTATATATGTGCGCCAGACAATGAATCGGAATTGAATAGCGGACATAGAGATTGAAGATATAGACGGACAGTTGAGTCAAGCTCGGTAGTAAGTAAAGTGCGTGAATCATTCGTTGAGAATTATAGCGTGTGTTTAAGTGACA